TTAAAAAAAGAAAGAATGACACAAGTGTAAAATGAGGGAACTGTTTGGAGATAAGAGCTAGTAAGATAGCAGAGGAGAGAAGAAGAGGGCAAACCCAGAAGTGAATATGACTGAAGTTATTCATATGCAATTAGAATACCAAAACCCATTAAAATTGTTTAAAAGGAGCCAGGCACTAGGCTAGCAAGGTGCTGGTAGCTCACACCTGTAATCCTAGCTACTCAGGAGACTGAGATCTGAGGATCATGATTCAAAGCCAGCCTGGGCAAAAAAAAAGTCCCCATGAGACTCTTATCTCCAATTAACCACACAAAAACCAGAAGTGGTATTGTGGCTCAAGTGGTAGAGCACTAGCCTTGAGCACAAAGTGGCTCAGGACAGCACCCAGGTCCTGAGTTCAAGCCCCATAACTGACAAAAGGAAAGGAAGAAAAGGGATATGAAAGAGTAGTATAGGGAGGTTTTTTTTTAAATCAAAGTATATCATATGCACGTTTGGAACTATCAGTGCATATATGTTACAAGTCAACAATTATGTAACCAACACAAAAGAGATGAACTGGGCGAGGATAGGAGATGACGCATTGAATCTCTACATAGTAGTGCCTTTACAGATGGACTAGGCAGGCTCCCATTTGCCACAGTACCCATCATTCCTTATTGTTTACTATCACCACAGCAGCTAGGCCAGTGCTATCCTCCATCTTACTCCAGACTCATTTGTCCTGCTACCTAGACCCTGGAAATATCTGAATTAATAGACTAACTTAGCTGGGCCTTTTGCTGTAACCATGAGAAGGAGTATCCCAGGGGGAAGCTAAACTCTTCTAGATAATTGAGGGAAATAGAAAGAAGCCCGAAGAGATCCTCTGTGAGCAGAATTCCTATATTCTAGCACTCCTGACATTTTGAGCCAGACCACAATTTGTTTGGGGGGCTTATCCTGTGCATTAGAGGATGTTTAGTTAACATCTCTAGCCTATATCCACTGGATTCTCATAGTATTCATCACTGCAACTACCTCCAGTCACTGCCAACTGTCTCCTGAGAGGGAGGCAAAACTGCACTCATTTGAGCACTTAGAGCAGAAACAAGACAGGTAGATGCTGTCTGCCACAGGGGTAGAGCCACTGGGTCAGAAGTGCTGGCAGAGCTGCCACAGTTCCGGTTCCAAGCTCCCCATCTTTTCTCAGCCAGCAAAAACAAACAATGAATCTGTAAAAAGGGAAAGGAGGGTAGGGCACCAATGACTCATGCCTGTAATCGTAGCTATTCCCGAGGCTGAGATCTGAGCATTATGGTTGGAAACCAGCCTGAGTAGGAAAGCTTGTGAGACTCTTGTCACCAATTAACCACCAAAAAGCCAGAGTTGAAGCTGTGACTCAAGTGTCCAAGTGCCAGCCTTGGGTGAAAAAGTTAGGCAGTAGCACCTAGGCTCTGAGTTCAAGCCTCCATATCAGCACACACAAAAAAATGAGGGAAGGAGGAACACTTTGGTGAAAGACTGGACTGTGGAGTGTGGAGCCATGGAGACACAGGATGTATCATTAACCCCAAGAGGAATCTTTCACAAAGAATATAATATAAGCAATGTCCCTGGGAGTTGTACATTGTGCTAAGCCTGGATATAAACTACTTAAAAGCTCTGATCTCCTTAAATATCCTATCAATTCTGCCTCTTTCCCAATCTACTCTGTCCACCACTCACATACACACAAGACATGTATAAATGATATTAGTGGGGCTTCCAAAGAAGCATCTCAGAGCAAGAAGTGGCAAGCTCATAAACATCAGTCTGTCCACCATCACTCCTGTCTTTCAGAATCTCCTGAAAGACCATGATGCAGGCTCCTGACACACATGGACTGAGATTTGAGCCAATTTTCATTTGAATTTCAAAGAACATGCATCACAGTTCTCCGTATCTGTATTTAATTTGCTTTCCTTTATTTCATTCCCCAAGCATAATCTTGCTTCCCCTTGGCTCTCTTTCAGCATTGTAGTTTTGATTAAGTCTAATACAAATGGTAGAAGTACGTGGTCTATTTTGTAAGGTTGTACCAAGGATGGGAGTAGTCTACCCCCAGACAAAGAACAAGAGGTACATTCTCCCTGGAGAATTTAAAAACAATAAAAGTCAGCTTTTATTATCACCATGTAGTTGTTAGTAATCCCTAGCAATCTTGATATTAAAATAATCCTCCAACCAAAAAGTATTTTTATTGATCTGCCTTCTAAGGCAATTACTGTGGTTGCTGTTGAATTTTCAGTATATATCTTAAATAAATGTATGTATGTATATATATATTGTTTTGCCCTCTTCTGATGATGCTACAGTATCCTCACATCTAGATTTTTTTTTACAAGTTTCTGTGCCAATTCTTCCTACCATAATGCTAAGAGAATTTCAAGGCAAATAAAGAACAGTATATCTGGGGTCTAATCTAATACCCAAAGATAATGTTCTTCATTCTTTGTTTAAAAGAAAAAATACAGAAAATTCCAATTCAATGTCTGTGACTACCATTGTTCATACTCCTATAACACCTTAGATGCAAAACAAAGAATCCATCCCACACACAATAAAATATGGCAGGACTCTTTGAGGTTGAAATTTGCCACGGAGATATTCCACTTGGAGCATTTTGACCTGTGGGACTGGGCATTTTCCAGAATTGTTAAATAGTCTTACTACATACTATTGTTCAAAGAGATGGGAAAAGCCTGTTGCTGGTGGCTTTTACCTGTAATCCCAGTTCTTCAGGAAGCAGAGATCTGGAGGACTGTGATTTGAGGCCAGCTCAGTCAGAGAAGTCTGTGACTCCATCTTCAAATAACCAACAATGTTAAGATCTTAACATTAGACACCACAGAATGATTAATATCGAGCTCCATATTGAGTATTTCTCAGCCATAAAGAAGAATAAAATCTTGTTACTTTCACAAAAGTGGATGAAACTGAAGATCATTGCACTAAGGGAAATAAACCAAACTAAGAGTGAAAAAATGCCAACAAGTATCGCTCAAGTGGAAGAGCACCAGCTGAGCAGTAACTTGAGGAAGTACAAGGCCCTGAGTTCAAACCCTGGTATAAGAAGGAAGGAAGGAAGGAAGGAAGGAAGAGAGAGAGGGAGGGAGGGAGGGAGGAAGGGAGGAGAGGAAGGAAAGGGAAGGAGAAAGGAAGGAGAGGAAGGAAGGGAGGGAGAGAGTAAGGGAGGGAGGGAGAGAAGAAGGCAGGGAGGGAGAGAGGGATGGAGGGAGGGGAGATGAGGGGAAGGAGGAAAAGGAAATATTTCACCATCATTTCCACACTGTTTCTGTACTTTGATGGCCTTCTTAACCAAAAGAGAACCCTCGCCTCTCAATCATCTCATCTCAGTATGGCTAATATATCCTCCAAAAAGGAATTGAGCATGGAAAATATCTATCTCATATTGGATTCATGTATATAAAAGTTTAACCTCTTGTATACTGGACTATGGATCTTTGTTGAAACACTTACCAAGTATATATTTAAAATATCTAATAGAGTTGGTCTAAATTAGGAACACTAGTGTGCAATCTTCTAGCAAGGCATTTCCTCTCTAGGGAGTAAGAAAAAATGGGGGAACACAAATCACTCTATGAATACAAATAATGTAAGCAACTATAGGCACTTGGTTTTAGATTTTAAAAATAACTTTAATCTGAAGGCTTATTATGTCTTCTAAAGATCTTCAGTTAGACTATCCTAATACATTACACAGAACTTAGCCAACCTTGCCCTTTAAGTCATCAGTATGGCTCAGCCTAGTGCGCTAAGACCACCTGGAATATAGGATTCTGTCATCATAGTCTGATCTCCAGCTTATTTTAATTTTTTTAAATTTTATTTTATTGTAAAGATGCTGTACAAAGGGGTTAGTTACATGAGTAAGATAATGAGTTGATCTCCAGCTTCTAAGCACATGGTTACATATTAGGGACATAGTAAATATCTGTGGGATGATCAAGTGGCAGAACAAACTCATAGACAGCATGTTAGAATTTTAGTCTCTATGACAAATATCTTGCATAATCAACTTAAAGAAGGAAACATGCATATATGGCTCACTGTTTCAGAGGTTTGGGTCCATCATGATTAAAAGGACATAGAAGAATAGAACACATCATGATGGCCAGGAAGCAGAGAAGAATCCAGAGACAAAATATAACACCACCACCACCCACCATCCCCAACATGCCCTCAATGGCCTACTTTCTCTAGTGAGGCATCACCTCATAAAGTTTCTGGAACCTCCTAAGATAGCATCATCACCTGGAGATCAATCCTTTAATCCATGAGCCTTTTGAGGAACACTTCATCTATAAACCATAACAGATGGACATTGTAACACAGCAGACAATCTATCCAATAGGAGACTGGAGACTCCTAAAATTATACAATTTTTTTCAAGCATTGTTGCCTCCTCGTTTGCTTACAAATTTTAAAGGTAAAACATACAACTGGGACATAAGATTACTAGGTGAGGATTTTTGTGACAAGTGTCCCTTATCCTTATCGCCCCATACTAGATAAGGACACTATAATGGGGACATTCTCATTTTGTTCGTTTTTGTAGTGATGTATGGTCTCATTAGCCCAAAGGAGCCTTGAACTCATTATGTAGTATTCAATCTATTGCTTCAGCTTCCTGGAGCTAAGATTACAGGCTTATACCATCATACCCACTTTGGGAACATTTTTAATAAAACACATAAGCTGCCTCACATTAAGCCACATTTTCAATTTAATGGACCTTTAAAAACCCACAGTGAGTTATCTATGCTATCCTGTGACTGACAAGTGTTTACTGTGTGCAGATATTGAAGAACCTAACTGAGATCATCACAAGGTGAAAAAAAAAAACTTAGACTTTGACTTCATTGGAAAGACTCTCAATTCATTTCCATGTTGCCTACATCAAGTGCACAAAAGACCAAGTACAAACCACAAAATATTGACACCAAGACACCATAAAAGCCGCTTAGGTAACATACATTTATTTTTAACACAGCACCCCCATTTCACAACATGTACATTTTTCCCCATTGGAAATTTTTCTTACTATCTTCTTCACAGATATTTCAACAAGTGTGAAACAGAGGCAGGAAAATTAACTTGAGTCTACAAATCACAATTCAAATATAGAACAGTCTCGGGGATTTATTTAGGTGGAAGGTAAATATGCATAATGTTCCTAATGCTTAACAAACACATGAGATTCTGGCTGAGTAAAATATTAACACAACTTGTTAGCACATTATCATGAAAAGACAGAAGGCATCAAATATATACTTTGCTGTTACACTTTTTACTGTACCTGTAGTACTTTTTACCATGTACCTGTAGTGAAAAAATATAATATACATTTTTACTATCAAGATTAAAATAGACAGCTCAGTATCACTTTTGGCCAATACCTATGAAGACTAAAATGGCTCTTTTCATCTCTGGCTCACTATCATATTTGAGCCAAAAAGAACGGCAGTGCTAAAGAAGAGGATATTCTTGGCTCCCAAGCTGGGTGCATTTGAAGCTGTCATATAAGTTGACAATAAAAATAACACACTTTTGTTGATGTAAGCTGCATGCAATTGGGGTACTGTGTTAAGTACGTGTCTCAGGGCAGAGATCCCTAAAGGAGCTTTAAGGTCTTAGTCTATTATCCAAAAGAGTGCTATGGAACTGGCACCTGAAGGTCTCCTTATTTTAGTTTCCAAATTCCAAGTTCAGCCCTCTTGAAGTATGCTCTTCTGTGCTCTTCAGAGTCATAAACCTACTTTATTCAACCTCCCACTACCATGGAATTAGCTTGAAGCAAGATCGGACAATTCACAAGATGTAAAAAACAATAAGCATTCTCCAATTGTTGAGGGCAAAGCTAAGCTTCTGTAACCAAAACAAGGCCTATAGACTGAAACCCTGTAGTGCTTCCCAGAGAAGGTTCCTTTACCATCAGTTAGTGTTTACTAAATTCAGAAAAGAATCACACTATCCTAAAAGCCAATCACACTATCCTAAAAGCCGCTTTAGACCTGTGCTGTCTTGCTTGCACTAACAAAATGTCTGCCTTGCACCATACTTGCATGACAGCTTTTGAAAGTCTGTTCAGGGGCTAGGCAGGTGCCCTTAGGATCTGCTTGCATTGCTCTTAAAGTCTGGCTCTCCACGCCTGCTGCTCTTGGCATATCCACAGACCTAGATCCATTTCTCATCAAAGAAACAAAGCAGGGCGGCCCACAGAGAAGTACTCATCCGAATTGCCATCAGTGACTAATCTGTGAGTGTTAGTGGGCAGCCTCCCTTCGCCTGTGCTGAAAGAAAAGCAAGATATGTGGACTGAAGATGCTACAAACCCAAATCCTCACTTCTTACTAGGAACCTGGACCACACTGCAAAATGATGCAAAATTCCCTAACAAAGCACCCATAACTGATCCTTTGAAATCAGAACTTTTAAAGAGCACACGTTAAACAAAGCAAACTAGTAAGAGAAATCAAAATCAAAATCACTAGTGTTCTATTTAATTTAATGGGAAGGAAGGAAGACCTCCTTAACTGTGATTATTTTGTTCACATTCATAATGTTCCAACCACAATGTAATGGGCCTTCTTGTCAATAACATGGAAGGATCTGGTTATAACAAGATGTTAAATTCTTGTTTAAATACATATATTTTAAAATCACATCTCCTTGATGATAAGAAGTAGTTTGTGTAGTTTGTGTTGAACAAATGGTTTTAATTCTAAGGTGTTAATAATGCAACTGAGCTTTTCCCAATTATTGCTTAGAAGAAGACATATGCAAATGTCTTTCAAGAAATACATCAGTTTCAGACATTATCTTATCAATAGTCTACTTAAAAATCTATTATTACCATGGCTGTGAGATCACTCAAGAAACATAAAATTAAATCACATCTAAATAGAAAAAGGTTTGTGATAGTTCAGTTATTGGTAAAAAAAAAAAAAAAAAAAAGAAAGAAAGAAAATCCATGCTTTTGATTACTCACCTTAACAATATGTTGAAATTAAACATTTGCAACGAAAGCAACCAAAGATATATTGAAGAAAAGCTATAACTTACTACATATTGAGTTCATTTCAATCACAGTAGTCTTTAAAACAAGCTCCCATAAGGACTATGGGAATGGAATCTGTTCAAAGAAACAGCTGTCAAAAGTGCTGCCAAGAAATGTACAGTAACATTGCACCATGATAGGTAAAGTGTTCAGGAAAAAAATGGTTCAGTAATATTCTTTTCCTTAAGATTTTATTATTTTACTTCACTCCAAGAGAAATGTCTAGATCTAAATTTCTTTAAAACATGTCTTCATATTTACAGACGAATAGAGTCAATAAAACTCAATGGCAAATATTTAAAAACCTCCTAATCTAATTTTAGTTTTGGTAGAAGAAATCAGGCTGACATCCCAGCTCCATGAATTCTTGGGTCAGGAGCTTTCCCCACATGCAAATGATAGGAGATGAGCGCAGTCCTGCCCAGCTCTGACATCTCTAGGGCTAAGAAGATAGGCACGCCCTCCAGCTAAGCTGACTCCTCTCCCAATTAGTCTCCAAGCACTAGTAATATCTGTAGAGTAATTAGATCCTTTCAACTAAGGCAATCATCTGCCTTGATTATGGCATAACACATCCATTCCGGGTATCTACTATTTGGTTTTGCTTCATGTCTGCAAATAGAAAGTGACCAAGAGCATGTAGAAGAGATGCTGAAGTTGAGACTATTTGGACTATATTGTAAACATGTGCATAATGTAACAATGAAAACCCCCTCTGTATATTAATGCAAGTTAGTGAGAGATAGAGAAGAGGGGAAAGAGGCAGGGGAGAGAAACCAAAGGACCATTAAAGCCCACTATAACCTCCTATTATGTTCTCATCTGTGGGACTGGAGGATCCTTTCAAGGAAAGACCACTGCATAACAAAGTAATTAAACCCCCATGAGTGGGGACAGTATAAATCCTTCGATCAATGGATTTCTGCCCAATAAGAAAGTCTAATCTTGGAGAAGTTTTTCAAAAGAGGTAAAATGGTGATTTCAATGCACCAGCCTTCCAATAAATCACATGAAAAGTACACAGAGACATTATCAGGCATTATAATCCTAAATTAAAAGTACACATCCTAAGAAAACAGAAAGAGAGGATGAGTACTAGAGTAAGGTAACTCTATTTGTAAGGTATATGTGTCTCTGAGTATATACATACACAAATATCTCCTTTCTAAAATATCTACTGGGAAACAATGGGCCAACATTAGGTCCAACTAAGAATGCTAGGCACATGTAGTATTGATGTGTTCTTGAATGCAATGCCTATCTTAAATATTGGCAATGAGCACTTGCATGCATGATGTATAGCCAAAACCACATGCACACAAAATTTTTGGTGAGACTATAAAACCTAGAGGGCTTTGTGTCCATGGCAAGATTTTTCCTTTAATGCAAATGAAGCCAACTAAACAAAACTCCAACCTCCTAACTTGGCTCACTCTGTCATTGACTTCACAGGGGAAATAGCATGTTAATATTTTTAAATGCATAGTATGGACTAACATTCCTTAGGTCATATGTCTGGCTGGTAGATATGAAGTACTATCCAGAGTAAATGCACACATACTGGAAGATTCTGTGCATATGTTAGTCTTTTCTGACTGAATATAACAAAAGCAAAACATCTGCAATAAGAACACCGTTGATAAAAAATGTGTTACAGCCTCTAGATCTCAGCAAAAGGAAAAAGAGCTTACCTAAAACTCTATTGACCCATTCATAATCTCTGTAAGGGTTTAAATTCACTCCTAATCTTTCTCCACAACAACATAAAAGGCAGCCAAAGAAGAAAAGGAAAGGAAATAAAGAAGGTTCAAATTTCATGACTTTCAAAATCAGATCAGTTGAAACCCTTAAATATGCATGGAATAGATTCAACAATTTGTTTTTCTTTGGAAAAACATCATCTGCTTGAGCCCTTTTCTTCTGTTGTTCAGCTATTGATAGAACTTTCCAATGGAATAAGGAAGCATTAAATACATTTCTGCTTTTTCCAAAAGTTCTCAGCTCTTATCAATAGTTTAATCTCACATCTTGTAAAAACATTCAAAAGCATTTCACAAAGGACCCTAACTATACTCCATCCCACTATGCAAAGAATAGGTAAATTAGCCAAATGCACCACAGTTAGTTTGTCTTGTTGTAAGCCTCACAATGCAATGTTAAATTTGGCATGCCAGATGAGGCTGAGTGACCCATAATTCTGTAACCTGGTAGAGCCAGTCAATTCCCATTTTCAGCTTGGACTTTCAAAAGCAGCAGCAGCTACTTAAATTTCTATAGAATACTAGATTCTGCATTTGGAACTGCTTTACATCACCTACACCAGTTAGGTGAGCTCCTGCGTATATAAGCCATTTACTTCCCAAGGGTACACTCCACAGAGAATAAAAGTCATAAAGCTAATGTGAGGATCACGTGCCTTCATTCATACTTTAAGATAAAATTAAGATGAAAATAACTACCAGAGATTGTTGGCAAATATTCCCTTTTCCTTTCTACTCTGGATACCTGGGTTCAAACAACATATATTTATCAACCCAGCTTTTCATATTGATGGATGATTTGCAAACTCATGCATCTATAACTATGCTATCCCATGCAAGATAAAAGTAGAAATATGGCAAGTATTTGTTTAAGTTGATCAGATGAGGCAGTTAAGGTAGATTGCTCTTGCTCAAAATTTACATGAAAGGACTGTGTTTTCTGGGTTGATGGCTTAGATTGGACAAGTTAAATAGCTTGTTGCCAAAATCTCTACTTCACAGAGGTGTAAAGATCCAATAAGTCTTTGACATTCACTACAGAACAATAGTCATGTATTATTTATAGCTAGATATGAGATCAAAATGGCACTAGAGAAACAATTTTTTGGCATGTAGTGGTGGAGGGCACAACGCCAGTCTAAATTTGATGCTTTCATTTTCTTTTAGTTTTTGGTTTTGTTATCATGCCAAAGACTATCCAGTTGGAATAACAATTGTAGTAAACCAACCTACTGTGTGTGATATGCATACAAAAATAAAACTAGCATCCTGAAGGTACTTGGTTATCAGGTTTTGTAAAAATCATAAATCCTTTAAATAAATCATGTTCTAAATTATTTGCTAGAAGATGGATTTTTGGTAAGGATCAGCATCCAATGCCTTGATGAAGCACTTAAGAATGGGAGATAAAGTCTACTGATAATTACAATTTTAAGTGTGATACTTGGGATTTTTTTCCACCATAGTAAAATGCAGAAGAGAAAAGGTGACAGAGATTATGTTATGCTGTTTACAACTTTTGACACAGTCTGACATCTATGATAAATGGCTGGCTCAAACATTCAAAAGAAATATCTTGGCAGACAAGGTCACACGCCGTCACTTGAACTTTGGGGCAGTCACAACACAGTGACTGGACGAAGTTGTTCCAATTGGTTTTCCAATGCAATCCGTTCTTGATGAACCTCCTGTGTTGCACAAAACAGGGAGAGGAAAAACCAGAAAGCAAGGATGTCATTTCTTGGGTTCAGTTCTTGTTCACTTAGATAGTCAAGGGAAACTTATAAGTGGACCCAAAAACATTGAATACTGTTCTCAATAACATGTGGACTGGAAGGCATGGTAGTCAAAGCTGGTAATGAGACCAGATGGCTTCACAATTTATAATCTATGAATTCCTGTTTGAAGATGATGAAATCAATTAAAAATCTCTTCCATAACTCAACCTTAGTCTTGCCCTATTTTAACAGGATTTGCAGCTAGCAGAGAACGACATTAAAAATTAAAAGGCAGGCCAGAAATGAGTGGTTCACACCTATAACCCTAGCTACTCAGGAGGAGGAGAACTGAGAATTGTGGTTTGGAGCCAAACTGGGAGGACAAATTTGTTACACTCATAGGTCCAATTAACCAGAAAAAAAATCCTGAATTGGAGGCATGATTCAACTGGTAGAGCACTAGCCTTGAGCAAAAAAACAAAACAAAATAGCTAAGCCATGGGGCAAGGCCCTGAGTTCAAGTCGGTAAAATGATAAAAACAACTAAAAAAATAGAAATAAAAGATTGATTGGGGGAGATCAAAAGTAAAAATAGACTCCCAAAACTGAATGGTAAGCCACTGGGACTAACTTTCTAGTCACAGTTTCTGGCTTTTAATACAACATCACATCCCTCCACCAAAGTCTTGCCCAGGCTCCTGTACGTGGTTTAATGTGGGACCTATGGAGACAGACAGAGGAGAGAAGTCACCAGTTTCCTATTTGAGAAATCAAACTTTCAGGCCTAAAAAATATTTTTTGCAGAGATACAAGAGATACAGAAAGACATTCTTTGGGCTCCTCTTTTGTCCTGTCTCCAGATGGAAAGTTACTGCTATTTTCTTCTCACAGCTTTCTTTTCACTACCAAATAAACTCTCATTTTATTCAGGAAAAGAAAACATCCTTAACTACAATTAGTCAAGGTGAGGAAAGAATTCTGTTATAAAGGTTTGGTACTGAGCTGCTCCAGAAGAATCAACACATTGGTAGTCAGCAGTCAGACAAACACAAATTGCTTGTTCATTTGCACTCCTACCAAGTCATCAAATTGTCTTAGGATCTATCTGTTATGAGCCAGATACTTCCCTAGCTATAATGGTTTCTGCAAATACCAAGGACCTCATAGGGCTTATATTCCAATATCTGAAGGGAGACAATCAAATGAATGAGCAAGATACTTTCGGGAGGAAATGAGTGATGGGATTGTATAAGAGATGGTAAATGTCGGAGAAAGCAGAGGGTGACCAGGGAAACTTCTCAGAGGTGATATTACTTAAGCAGAGACTCGAAAGGAGAGGAATGACATCAAGATATGGAGAAGGATGGGCAAATGAGATATAATGGCAACTGAAAGGGGGCACTAAATGGTTTGGGTAAGTTTGAAGAACAAAATGCTCCACATTACCAGAGCAGAGGGAACAAGGAACATATTGGCATGAGATGAAGCCAGAGAGTTAAGGAGAAGCCATATCTCATAGGATCTTGGCAGACTGCACTCCAAATGTTGAGGGATAGCACTGAGGGTTTCTGTTAGAGCCTGGATCTGGAATATCCCCCAAAGGCTTATCCCCCTTGGTACCCAGCTGTTGGTGCTATTGGGAGCTGGTGGAAACTTTAGAGGGTGGGACCTAAGTGAAGAAAATGAGGTCACTGGGAACATGCTCTCATGGTGATTCTGGCATCTTCCTGTCTTTCTTTAATTCCTGGCCACCAGGAATCTATAACTGATAGGTATTGCTGATGAAGTTAAGCTGGTCAGAAAGGAAAATTTAAGGAGGACTTCTCTGATTTGCACTTTAAGACAGTGGGCCAGGTGCCAGTGGCTTATGCCTGTATTTCTAGCTACTCAGGAGGCTGAGATCTGAGGATCGTGGTTCAAAGAGTAAGCAGAGCTTGAGACATAAATTCAGGTTTAACTAGAGTATAGATGATCTTCAAAGCCATGAAACTATAGAACTTCATATAAGTTTATACAACGCTATAGAATACAGTACAGAGGCTTCAGGTAGAGATGGAAAAGATCTCAATCCAGGCATGGTGGTTGATGCATTTAATCTCAGCACTTGGGAAGCTGAAGCAGGAGGGTCAGAGTTTTAGGTGAGACTAGTCTATGTAAGGACATCTTGTCTCAAAAACAAAACAACAAAAACAGTGATTTCAGAGGAAAGAATCTTCATTTATATAGATGCTTTTGAAAATTCAGATGTTAAAAAAAGCCCTGTGGATTTGACCAAAAGAGGAGTGTGAGTAGAAGAGAGGAAAACCACCCTGAGTAGAGAGGGGGAAAGCCATTGCTGAAGAAATACACAGTGAATGAAAACAATTCTGAAAAAGCTGCACTGTGAAGAGAACAGGAGAAATGGAATACCTTGTTAAGGGAAATGGATAATATTGGAACATGTTTATGTGTGAATAAAGAATTATCCAGCAGAGAATCATGTCTCACCAAAAAATGTGTTTCGATCTTAAACCCTAGTACCTTTAAATGTGACTTATATACAAATAGGAGCCTTGCAAATGTAATCAAGATGAGCTCATGCTAGATTACGGTCCAAACAAAGCCAAAGCAAAGAAGCAAGGACTAGCAGGGAAAGGCCTGGTAATCCAAATCTGGGAGGCATTCCTTACCTTGAGTTGTTGTTGGAGTTCACTGTTCAACCGAGCCAGAACTGCATTTGCCTCTTTATTTTTACGGATAGCAGTTTGAATTGCCTTCTTCTGTTTGGAAGACTGCCTATGGGAAAGGACAAATATTTCATCGAAAAAGGATTTTAAGAGGTCTGGACTCTTGCACTTCAGAACTCTCACTCAGGAGAAGTGCTAAACTAACAAGGGTTAATAATCATAGGGTTCCAAAAATACAATCTCATATTCACAGGCAGGCAGGCACATACCAAATTTGTCGAGATGAATTATTTATACCTGAAGTCATTCTCATTTTATAACTTGAATAAAAGCTGTGAATTGGGCCTTTTCAAACATTTGTGTTCCATTTATTCTAAGACATTTTAATAAGCATTTCTTCTGACAAACCTTATTAACTGAATGCCCTTTTGCATAAGCATTAGTGGCATTTAAAAGACCTGCAGCTGGCCTCTGTGGACAAGTCTAAAGGAAAAGAATAGAACATTCTCTTTAGAAAAAAATCTACATTAATTTGGCAAGATTGCCTTATATTCCCTTATTTCTTTATTACTGAGCATAAATGAAAGAGAGACAGAGACACGTACTGGTACCAACATATATCTGCAGCATTTGAGAAAGATGAAATGTTTTAATACCGAATTTCTGAACTAAATCAATGGTAAATTCACAGAACCAGTATAAGTAGGGTGACCATGTCACTCTGCTTGCCCATTACATACAGTCCCTGCTTACACTATGTGACCACAAGTCTTAACATGCTTTATTTTTCAAAACTGTCTGTGGATACAATGCTAAAATAACATGGTTACCCATAGGTATGACTTCTAATTTCTTATCCCATTACAAAAATACTGAATTTTAGAGCAAAAAGAAAGGCGATTTGTGTTCTCCTGGAAAAAAAATAACCATATTTGCAATCACTAGGCCAGGGCAACTGAACTAGAACCATCTGTGATCATTGAACAGAAAATACTTGCTGAGAATATACACTGTGCTAGTTACTATGCTGATTTGGAAAGGTATAGTCTGCAATAAGTTCACTGCTATTATTGTTTCACACATATATAGGTAAGGGAGAGATGTCAAAGTCATCTTTTCAGAATATAGCTTAGGGCTGGGTGCTGGTGGCTCATGCATATAAACCTAGTTATCCAGAAGGCTGAGGATCATGGTTAGAAGGTAGCCCAGGCAGAAAAGTCTGCAAGATTCTGATCTTCCCATTAATGAGCAAAAGGCAGAAGTGGAAGTGTGGTTCAAGTGTTAGAAGGCTGGCCTTGAGAGAAAAGAAACCAAGCCCCAAGTACAAGCACACACAAATATATCTATATCTATATATCATATTATATATAATATTTATTATATATTATTTTCCCTGGCGCTAAGATGGAGTTAGCTTTTTTTCACTGTGGCAAAATACCTGAGATTTAAAAAAAACTTAGGAAAAAAGGGATTTATTTATTTTGGCTAATGGTTTGAGAGGCTCAAACATCACCACAGGGAGTATTGGTGAAGGAAAGTTGCTCACCTCACAACATACTGGAAGTAGAAAGCAAGAGGAAGGCACCAGGGATAAGATATATCCTTCAAAAGCTCATCCCCCAGCGACCTATTTCCTCCAAGGAAGGGAATAGACCATTTCAAAAGCCAATCAGCCAGGAACCAGCTGACACATTTCTCTCTATTCTTTCCACTAAATACACTGAAAATTCCGTAAATAATACATAAAATAGAGATACATTTGTCCACTATCGTTTGAATTTTAAAATGTCCCTAGAAGGCTCATAATGAGTGCTTGGTCCTCAGATGACTAAGTTTGGAGACAATGAAATCAGAGAAAAATGATGTGTATCGCTTCTGAGTTATGTCCTTAGCAATAATCTGTTTTCTCTCCTTTTTTCCTTATCTCCTCCTGTGTCTTGAAACATGAATATGCTGGCAATGTCTTGCCTTCAACCATATGAATAAATGCATCCCCCAAGGGGGTTAAGAACAGGAAGACAGAAGGTCCCTGTGCTCCTCCCCTTCTGGACCAATCACAAAAACGAGGGTGGGTGTATGACTCAGTTATATAGCGCCAGGCAAGCAAGAACCACACCCTGAGTTGGAGCCCTGGTCCCACAAATAAAGAACCAGTCTTCATGAACTTAGAGAAGGAAATACTTTCTTAGCACAGCAATAACATATAAAGACAGAAAAAAAAGACAAAATGGGCTTCATCAAAATGAGAAACTTTTTTCCTACAAACATTAGGAAAAGAAAACCCATGGATTGAAAAAATATATCTGCATAAAATGTAACTGCCAAGGGAGTTGTAACCAGAATACAGAAGATACACACCATCATTAGTCATTAAAGAAATACATAGAAACTATAATGGGATACCACTTCACATTCGTTAGGATGGTCATAACAATTTGAAAAAGAGGTAGGGATTAGCAAAGAAGTGGAGAGATTGGAATTGGACATCTTTGTTATGGATAGGGTTGGAAGATGGTCCCAGCTCTCAGTGGAAGTGATGGACGAAAATCTGCTTCTTTTATATACTGATAACTTTCTGGAACTGCCCATGTGCGGGGGAAAAAAATCATCTGAAGACTGGGGATGCAAATATTCAAAGCAGAATTTAAGCTTCAAAGCAAGCTTCTGACACCACCCACAGAACTTGTTGCTTTTTTTCCCACACTAGTGTGAACAGAAGGAAATTCATCACAGCCTCTGAAACCTGAAAGGTGCCACAAAAGCATCAGGATGGAGCTTGAACATTTACATTAGTAACCAGGCAGGCTCCCTGGCAAGTGGCAGTGGCATGCTTCTGCCCGGAATGCTTCATTCAATGACACCGTGGAAAAACTGAGGCAGGCGATGGCTGTACTCAAACCCAAAACGTTGTAGACAAGGATGTCCATAGCAATGTGGCCTCAGCCTCTGTCCAAGTCCACAAGCTCCCACATGTCCTTCAGTATCTGGTCCAGTTGGCGAGATAGGTGTTAGGGGCCTTTTGCCTGTGCTGTTCAGAGTTGACATGATTGATGACAGGAACTCTTTATGGGCCTTCAAATAAAATCACATACTATTTCTACTAAAAGTTGGGTGCATGGTCATAGAGCTAACCCATTGCCCTGAAAAAAGATGAGATAAAACAGGAAATGAAGGGAAACTGCTACTTACAGACCCCTCTTCTTGCTAGAGAAAAATCTTCTGGCACTAAAAAAACAAAAAAAAAATGGTAGGAAGGAAAAGGAGAGAGGAAAGGCAGGAAACCAAGTCGCCACAGCCTAGGACTTCACTTCCCCTTTAGGCTAGGTTAAGCTCAATAGCTTATAAAGCCTTCTCTATGTGACTGGGAGCCTTTGATCCAGTTAAAGTGATGAGTAACACCACCTTTCCATGGGTATGAGTGTAGGTATGAGAACAGATACGCATAGGTGTAAGAGGAAGTTTCATCTTGTTCTTATTTACTGGATCTACTTACTTTTGAACTGTAGGATGGGGCTTCACAGTTGTTACAGGAGCTGGCCCAGCTACAACAGTGGAAGGCTCTTGATTTTCTGTAGATTGATTTTCAGGCCTGAATTTCCTACGAATAGGCTTTGATGGAGGCTGAGAATATGGAACATCCTATGAAGTAGAAACAAAAGCAAAATGAAAAAAAAACAAAGTTAACATTTAAGTGTTCCATCCATCCATCATACCAGTGACCATATTCCTCTAGCTCTGTCCCCAAGATGAGAAGACTCTTCAATCCAAACTCCACAACCTTAGATCTGTGGCTAATACCTGGCTCAGCAAGAATTGGAAGGATATAGGTATCAGATTCCAGCAGCCAGCCAGCCTGCCTGCCTTTCTTGTCTTAAAAATAAATAAATAAATAAACAAACAAATAAATAAATAACTAAAAGCTTGCCTCTTTTGGTCATCAAGGAAGGAACACAGAAACCAAATTCCAGTAGCCTTTCCTTTTGTCTTTCTTTTGTTTATATTGTAAGTAATCTACTATTTCTTATATTTTAACTCTACAACAATCCCATGAATCTAACAGTACAGTACAAATTTGGCACTGCCCTCTCGTATGCTCCTGAGCCCAAGGCCTACTTTCTTTTTTTTTTTTTTCTTTTTGTCGGTCATGGGGCTTGAACTCTGGGCTTGGGCACTGTCCCTCAGCTCTTCAGGCTCAAGGAGAGCACTCTACCGCTTGAGCCACAGTGCCACTTCCGGTTTTCTAGTGGTTTATTGGAGATAAGAGTCTCACAGACTTTTCCTGCCTGGGCTGGCTTTGAACCATGATCCTCACATCTCAGCCTCCTGAATAGCTAGGATTACAGGTGTGAGCCACTGGTGCCCTGCTCCGAGGCCTACTTTCCCAAGAAGGGCCTGGCAGAGAATAAAAGAGAAGAAGAATGGGAAGGGGAAACAAAGAGGAGGCAACAATGCTTGATAAGAAATGTACTTGTTATCTTGTTCATGTAATTGTAACTCCTCTGTATGGTATTCTCACAATAAAAATAAATAAATAAATAAACTTAAAAAAAAAAACGTATGAGTCATTCCACCTTCTGAGGGTGTAAACCCAGAGCAAGCTTCCTTGAGAAATCAGAGTGTTATATAAGAGGGTACTATGGAAAGCCATGTTTTGAATGGACAAACATCTATAGTTCTTCCTAAATTACTTGTAGGTTGATAATATAATAACTTTTAAAATAGATCGTTTAAATAGGGATACAGGTGGATCCATTGCAAGAATGAGATGTACGAGTCGTTATATCAAAAAACTAACTTTACAACTTTGGCAGTAGAGGGGGGGTGAGGTGGGGGCAGGGGAGGGGGAGATGGGAAGGGATGGGAAGGGGAAACAAAGGAGGAGGCAACAATGCTTGATAAGAAATGCACTCATTATTTTGCCCATGTAATTGTAACCCCTCTGTACGGTATTTTCACAATAAAAAATAAAAATGAAAAAATAAAAAAATTTAAAAAAGAGAAGAAGAAAATATAAGAAGACAAATGGGGAGTATGGTAGTGACATCAAGTAGTATGCCCAAGAAACATCAGGATCCTAATCTTCATAAAGAAACCCACATTTTGGGACATGTGAGTCAGTCACATTTATCTTCAGGGGAAGCCTTAAAAATGATAGATCTGCTAACAGAGGCAAAAAGCCCAAGAGTGGGATCATAGTGCGTAAGACAGCATCCTCAGGCTGCTCTTACCTTCTTTGCTGGACTACTTTCTGCAGCCTGGGAAGGAGTTCTGTTCATCTGTGGAAGTAACTCGGCATCAGACACTTGTTCTGACTGAAGTAAAAGATCCAAGAGATGATATAAATGCCAAAACAAACCATCAATAATATGCAGCAAAGAGCACTTAAAAAAACAGTCACTTGGGGAAAACAGATTGAAACCAAGTTGCAGCCAAGCCTGGTTGTCTACTAATGTTGGAGAAAGATTTTCTGTCGACCCTACTATCTTCTACTCCTCTTTCCACTATCATTTAACCTTAATAAAAGGAATCATGGGGGGCACACGCCTTAATCTCAATTAGGTAGAGATCATGTAGTTCATGGAGAGATTAAGGCAAACAACAAACAAACCAAAATGCAGTGGAACATGTCTATAATCCCTGCTAGGCAGGAAAAACATGGACCAAAGTCATCTCAGGCAAAAATAAATAAATAAAATAAACACCATAAGACCTGCTATGAAAACTAACTAAAGCAAAAAAGGGGAAATAGAGATATATAGCTCAAATAGTTCTGTGCCCACATAACAAACACCAGGCCCTGAGTTCAAGTTCTAATACCAACACACAAAAAAGAAAAGGAATCATAAGAACTTCTTCTATATTTGGACATATATATTTCTTTAAAACATAAGCTATAAAAGCAGCAGGACCAATCAAAAAGAAATAGGTTAGAAAAGAAGTTAACATTTTCACTGGATTGTTCTATTTACGTACAAGTATATAAAGTACTTTGATCATATTCACACTCCCTTACCCGCTTTCTACCGCTTCCTGCTGACACCCATTCACTACCAAGGGGTTTCATCAGGGCATTGCAGATGTGCATATATTACATTTTGATAAAAATAACCCTGTCTATTGCTTTCTCTTTCCTGATTCCTCCCCAACCAGTTACTAATTGACAGCTTTCACTGAGATGTCTCATGCCATCTTCATACATAAACACAACATATTTTGATATTATTTGTCCCCCAGCATTCCCTTTCCATCTTCTCCTTCCCTTCCAGTCCCCCAAACAGTCCCAAAATTGTTTTAAGAAATGGGTAAAATTAGGAAGAATAATATTGTGTCATTTGCAGGGAAATGGATGAACCTGGAAAAAATTATGTTGAGTGAAATAAGTCAGACTCAGAGAGACAAAGGGCACATGTTTTCTTTCATATGTGGAAGCTAGATCTAAAAAATAAAAATAGATGAAATTACATATGGGACCATATGCATATAATACACAAGCAAAGTGAAGTAAAGTCTGATATATGCAGGGGTAGGTTTCCATAGTGTAACACCTTTGAAAAATTAACAGATAATTTAACAATGTGAATATGAAGAAAATGAGACACATGTGGTCTGAGGGGGTTGGGGCTTAAGGAAGGGGAAGATGAAGGAGAAAGGAATGATGGATAAATATAGTCACAATACTCAATGCATGCATGTGAAAATGGAACTAGGAAACTTGGGACAGGAGGGGTTGGGATGGATGGGAAAGCGGGAGGGGAACGATGGAAAGGGTGACATCGAGATGCATTTGTCCTCATAAGCTGACATACTGTCATTGAATCTCCTTTGTATAACTATTTAGAGACAATTTTAAATGATTTTAAAAATAAAGTTAAAGTAGAATAACAAAAATATTTTTAAAAGTCAGGAGAAGAGTCAGGTGCTGGTGGCTCATGCCTGTATTCCTAGCTATTCAATAGGCTGAGATCTGAGGATCACGGTTCAAAGCCAGCCCAGGCAGGAAAGTCCATGAGACTCATCTCCAATAAACCATTGGAAAACCACAAGTGGGAGAGCACTAGCCTTGAGCTGAAGAGCTGAGGGACAGTGCCCAGGCCCAGAGTTCAAGCCCCACAACTGACACACATACAAAAAAAAAAAATAGGGAGAAGGGAGGAGGGAACATGATACAGGGAATAACTGTGATCAGGGTACATTGTAAACATATATGGAAATATTACAACAACCCCCTCTTATATAACTAGTATATGATAATAAAAATTCAAAAATAAATAAAATAAATATGTGCTGAGAGCCCACATATAAAAATGATTTTTAACTGGAGCAATAAGAAAAACCAATCATCACCATAAAAGCACACTATAATTTTTGTTAAATTCCTAACAAGGAAACACTCTACTAAACAAAACCTCTTTCCACTAAAAGGAAAAGAGGTGTGTGGTGGAAGGCGTCATCTGGAGGTTCGAAGCTGCTGAGTAGTATGGAACTGATGATTAAATGCACAAAGACTGGTGAAGAATGCCCCCAGAGCATGCAAGAAAGAGCAGGCAAGCAGCCAAGCGAAAGAGCACAGGGTGAGTTGACATCATATGTAGCTCCCTATGCCCCCCAGGCTGCCTACCTTCAGCCTCTATTAGCCAGTGAGGCAAAACATCAAATGCTGAGAAAAATCCCCCCACTTATGAGTCAAGTGACTTACACGTTATACTGACATAAGTCTTCCATTTTACCCACAAATATATCTGCAGTATAGAAATGCACTGCAGCACAACCAACTGCTACCATGGCTCCATGTCGAACAACACATGGAGTGAGGAAAGTGTACTGTTAGCAAACACATCACTGAAACTTAGGCCAAAGTGTCTGTGAGTGTATAAGTGCACACATGTGTGCAATATAAGTAAAGTATATGTGATATTTTAACATTAAGACTCTCCTGGCACAAATGACAAATTATTTTCATATGGTCCTAGAAGGTGCTGCCACTCACATGTGGAGATCTGTCCCGTGGTTTTGCCTATTCCCATGATTGATGAGACAATAAGGATCTGTGCTCAGTTGGTTTCCCTGAAATGGATGGAAGCCCAGAGAGGCCAAGAATTTGTGTGTATTCCCTTTTGCAATTGTGCAGATACTTATTTTGTACTTCCGATGTACTAGGGACCATGATAAATGCTTGGGACACAAACAGAAGGAAGCCAGCTCTCAGAGGGGTGATGATATCCCACTCTCCTTTACCTGGTACTGACTGTTGTCAGGGAAGGACTAACAGCTGCTGTGTCCTATAGAGAATTACCTTCAACTTAGGAAAAATGACCTCTCAAACCCACCATCAACAATCCACAATGTCTGTTTTCTAAAAGGATATAAAGGCCAGTCTCCTGCCTCAAAGGGAAATAACTGTGGTGTAGTTTATGTGGCAGATCTTCCCTGTGTGGATTAGGCCCATGGCGGTTTTTAATCCAAAACTCCATCATTGCTGGGCTCTTTCCCCTTCCCAGCCTTTCTTCCCTCTTCTTTAGTTTGTTTATTTTCCTGAAGAGCACTACCACAGCAAGTCACTTTCTAAGAATCTTTATCTCAGCCTTTCTGTCTAGGTAATCTGACCCAAGACACTATATAACAACCTCCCAGACGAAGGTATTTAAAGCATTCTATTATGCTTTTTCTCCATGCTTCTGTTTTTGCCTTTGTCTGTATCTTTCTTTTTCTCCTATTACCCTCCTTGGGGAAAAAAATCAGCTGCCATGTTGTGAAGACACCCAAGTAATCCTAACAAGAGGGCTACATAGCCGAGGAATTGAGGCCTCCTCCAACACCAACCTTAGCACTGTATCCTCTATCTCCAGTCCAGCCTATGATGAATGCACCCCTGAATGACATCATCAGTAGTCTCATGAGAAATCCTGAGCCAAAACTACCAGCCAAGCCACTCCCAAATTCCAGGTACACCGTTGTTTTAAGATACTATATATATATAGCATTCTATAATGCCTAGAATTTGAGAGCTGGTAGAATAGAGCATGCTCTGAAACTCATAACGGAAGCCACTTGCCTTTACTTAGCACATGGGTTCTCAGACTTATTTGGCTTCCTTTCCTTATTCTCATGTAACTGCTATCACCACCCAATGGAAGTGATGTGCTATAGAATACACTTTGGGCAACTTTGACTATAGACTGACAACAAGAACAAGAACATGCCATTTGACTTTAATACCAAATGGTCCATACTTCGTCCTTGAAGAGGAGCAATCTCCACAGTGTTTAGCACATCCAAAACCAGAGAAGCTTCCGTACTCCCTTCCCTCTCTCACTTTGACCAAAAGAATGCTTGCTATGCTATCAGGGTGTGAATTGGGATTTTGCTGCAGGCAAGAAAGGGCTCTCTAGCTTCCCCTGCACCTCCTTGAAGTAGCAGCTCTTATTGCAGCTGTTAACTACTTCTCTGTGTAAAACCATTACTGGGTTCCTTTTGAAACAACCTAGATAAACACACAATAGAAGTTACTATGATAGCATCTGATGAAGAGAGATGTAACAACCGTAAGCACTTATGGACTTTCAAGAAGGTTAAGGCAAAGACTCCACATAGAGCTCCCCTATGACCCAGCAATCCCACTTTTGGGCATTTACCCAAATGTTTACAAACAAGACCACACTAAAGCTACCAGCACAACTATGTTTATTGCAGCATTATTCACTACAGATAAGATATGAAACCAACCCAGATGCCCCTCAGTAGATGAATGGATCAAGAAAATGTGGTATATACAATGGAATTCTATGCCTCGATCAGAAAGAATGACATTGCCCCATTTGTTAGGAAATGGAAAGGCTTGGAAAAAATATTTAAGTGAAGTAAGCCAGGCCCAAAGAAACATAGGTCCCATGGTTTCCCTTATTTGTGATATCTAGTATATGTCTGAGTCAAGCAGAAAAGGTCAGATAAGTTGATGTTTGATGTTAGGGAAATGAACCCTAAGATATGTATTCAAATGGTTTTTTTTCTTTCATGCGATTGTTTCTAACACATTTATAAGATTATTTCTTTGTTGCTTTGTATGTCCCTCCCCCACAGTATAACCCCTGCTTTCACTTTGGTGGGGGGGGGGTGGGGGGGGGCAGGGAGGATTGGATGGGGGGGCGGGGCAGGTGGGGAGGATGGGAAGGGATGGGAAGGGGAAACAAAGGAGGAGGCTACAATACCTGATAAGAAATGTACTCATTATCTTGCCCATGTAATTGTAACCCCTCTGTACAGTATTTTCACAATAAAAAAAATCAAAAAAAAAGAAGGTTAAGGCAAAATATCTCAG